AACAAGTTAGTTACTGTGGCAGTAATGTAAGAAGAGCTCTGCAGGGCACAAGAAAAAGGTGGGCTGCATTTGTCAGGACTGAAGTGTTCTTGTTTAATCTACACTAAACGTTAACTCTAGCACATGAATGACAGTTTTAGCACACAGCAGACCCCAATGTGTACTGGCTATCCACACAGGCTCATTCCCTTTCACTGTGACTAAAGCACATGTGTGGGCAGCAACAACTGTACTAGAGTAATCACAGACACATCAGCTATGGTCAAATACAAAAGCACGGGATCAGTATCAGCAGTTTCCACATAACCCCAGCAGTACTGGAAAGATCTTTCACTCATTTTAAAACTTATGGATCAAAATCTTACATTATATAACTGCTTATCACCCTGGAGAGAATAAAATTGCAGGTGACCAGGCTTTCCATTCAAAACTAGAGCTTTGGTTCTTGGGTCGACCATCAAGCCAGTAGATATACTCCTATCTGCAAGAGAAGCGACAGACATCAACTGAACTGTGGCAGCGGCCACTCACCAGGTACAGTCCCGCATCCCCTACAGGCTGCAGTACCTTTCACTAGGCCTTGAATAACCGCAGATGCGTTGAGATTTCGGTGAATAACTGTTATCTCTGTTAAAGCAGAGAAAAAATAATTAAACATAAATAGAACAGAATTTCAAGGTGATGAGGGCCAGATGTTTATGTTACTTTGAAATACACCAGAACACAAGAAAATCCAGTAAGTTCAACTAAGCCACTGTTACTAGAAATCAGGGCTATATTCTTTGAGTTAGTTCAACAATTAGGGATGGGGATAGAAGTTTCTGTAGAAAGTCATTAACCCTTTCTTTCAAATTATGTGTGCCCAAGTGTGGGTGTGGGGAGGAATGTGCATGGGAGTGCAAGTGCTTGGGGAAGCTAGATGGGAATGGCGGGCATCCCAAAACTGGAGTTACAGGTGCTGGTGAGCTGCCTGATGTGGGTTCTGGGAACTGAGTAGGGTCTGCATAAGATTAGGGTATCTATTATCCACTCTAGTTTACAAACTGCCCTAGGTGAGAAGGAACGGAAAGCAAGTCCCTTTCCTCCTACCACACGCCACAGCACTCAGCTGTGAGCACACACCTAGAGCTGCATCAAGAGAAGCTCACAGCATTCTCTGAAAATGCCATGACTTATCAAAGTAGGAAGGCCCACTTTAAACCTGCCTTCCACTTTAAAGATTCTGAAAATATAATATCCATAACCACAAACAAACACATTTAGCCTTATGCTTTCATAAAAACAATTTTGAAAATGATGGATCTGGTGGCATGTGAGGCTAAGAGGGATGGAGAAAAGCAGAACTTTTTAACCTTATTACCTTACCGCCTCACAACAAGAAACTCAGACTTACTGTTATCAGAGTGAGAAGTACAGAACAAATCTCCTGCAGGTGAGACGGAGATGTGCTCAATAGTAGATCCCAAGCGAGGGAGAAACTCCTTGTTCTTCTCTGATCCCTCTCGCCACTCTACAAGCACACACTCTCGCCCACCACTCAGCAGACTGGTGCCTTTCCAGCCAAAGAAACCAAATGGGCAGAGTTTGAAGGGAAAAACAAAACAACACAACAACAAAAACAAACATAATCAGCATTTAAGTGATCTCTTTGGAAACTTACAAAAGTGTTGTCCTATCATTTTAGCTGGTTTTATTGATTATCTTTCAGTTTTATTTTATTTTTAGTTGACACAGCTGTGCAGATATATACATTACAACATAATGCTTGCATACATATATAGTGTAATACTCAAATCATGTAATTTGAACATATGACACCTTGAGTATTTATCTATTCCTTATGAAGAAGCAATCAAAATATTCTTTTACAGTCATAATAGTACTAGCTACAGCCACCCTATTGTCCAGAGGAAAAAGCAAAGATGACCTACAGATAAAATGTTTGTCAATCATGTCTAATAAGGGATTAATAGTTATAAGATGTAAAGAACTCAAATAATTCAAAATCATAAATAATACAATTGAAGAATGGATTAAAAAAAAAA